TAAATGCTATCTGTCCAAATCGCATCTGTTTGTCGCACCCGAAAACCCTAATTATTCGAACCATCAACCAGGTTTTCATCAAAAATTCATCGATGAGAGAAATCGGTGCCGTGATGGGAATACGATGACCATTTTTAGCTTTAGCACCATCTTATGCCATTTTGCATAATTTGAAGAAAGACATGCTTTCCACAAAATGCGCTGTAAACCCACGTATCAAAGGATTATTTATTGGGTGCTATATAAGTAAGGTGGGTATGCCGCATTTTGGAACATAAATGCATTTGCTCTCCCCTTCAAAAAACGAGAAGAGCGTCGGGTGCAGACCATACACCACAAGTGACGACGGCCTCCTGGTTATTGGTTCATAGTGATAGCTGATTTTTGGTAAATGATAGTTGTAATTAGTGACAACTGATAGAATACAACTGCAACAGGCTAATCATTTCATTGGCAGAAAACATTTACATTTTGTGGAGGCCGTCGTCACTTGTGGTGTATGGTCTGCACCCGACGCTCTTCTCGTTTTTTGAAAGGGAGTATACTTGGGACTGCTGCCCGCTACTATATATTGTCACGAGAATCGGGGAATTCGTGAGCCAGGGGGAGTGTAGCCAATCTAAGGGGGTGGGGTGAGGGCAGCCACTTGACATGCGTGAAAAGCTGGGCGTACCAGTAGGACCAAAAGGCGCCATGTGACGCTCGCGTCAAAACAGATGCTACATTCGCTTTCACCGCACTGAAGTGACTTCATATGCAATGTTTCAGCCTTCTTGCGGTTCTTGTGAGATTCCGCTGGTGCCGAAGACTGAGTCAATTCTTGAAGAGTTCCCCTCGGCTGCTTTGTGCTTATGGTATCCTTATCAGAAAAGGCTAGTCTCTTTTCTGATGAGGATATGATTAGCACAAAGCAGGGGAGGGGAACTAAGGATGTTTGTAACGCCTTTTCCCGAATAAAGTGAACGAGCCCTCGGACTTGGCAAAAATAACTATTCTGTTCCAGATGATCAGTCGTTATTCGAGCTCATTATATTCGTTATGTCGGTCTGCCTACATCCCCATGAGGTACGTCGTCTCCTGAGATTTGCTTATTGTAGGGTTCCCATAGGATCGCATTATCAGCGTCACTCCCGAATCTTCAGTATGGGCACACGTAGGAGATCGTGGCTTGCGGGCGCTCCCTCCAAGGAAATGTTCTTATCCTTCCCCTTATGGGACGCGTCCCCTGACGCCTATGCAATCCTAAGGTTGGGAGAGACAGGGCTGCGACTTAGGATGAACGATTGCAGCAGGTGAAACTTCTTCAGTTTCTAGGGCTGTGCCTAGAAAGGGGGGGGGACGAACTCGTAGAAAACGAGAACTGCTCACGGGTATGGTTAGCTACGACGGGAAACAATTCTTCCTGTCGCAGCGCGAACTATTTTCGCTGCGGGACCCCAGGTCCACTCGTGACCTTTCGCGTTTAAAAAATCGCTTCCTGTCCTAACGAATCACATCCTTGCTCACCGTACTTTTGCGTCCCCATTACCCTCCCCTCACTTGGCTTAGTCTCAGAGCGTTTCAGTAAAAGAATAAAGGGAAATGCTTGGGTGATTTCAAAGCTTGGGACCTGCACCGCAATGTTCCCTGCTTCCATACTTTGCTGCGTTGCGGACAGTACGGAAAGCGTCAGTGTAGAGTGCGAGCGCATGATGTTAGCGCGTAGTCAAAACTGTGTAATCAAGCAAACTCTAGCCTCTCCAATCATGCGCGAGCATCCTGTATTGACGTTCTTCATACTTTCCGGTCTGCCTGCAGCCCCCGCACCGTCCGCACCAGCGCTAAGTATGGAGGCATCTTTTTAGAAGATTGCCGGAGATTGTTTGGACGGCTTGCATTTCTGCGCTCACATTTTTTACATACATAAGTTGAATGCGCACCCTTACCCACGACGAGGGTAAGGGTACGAAATGAATCGATGCATATTTGTTTTCGTAGCACATTTCAGCGCTGATCGTATCACAGAACCCATCATGGTCTCTTGTTGAATGTTGGCGGATTGGGATATGTCCGCCGAGGTTGGGGACATATCCCCGACGGACGTCGGGATATGTCCCCAACCTCGGCGGGGGGTGAGAGGACTCATCCACTGTTTGGGGCTTGCTGCAAGGCCCTTGTGTATCGGTGCTCTGCAGGTTTCGTGCATTCCTCGCACACTCGTGGTACAGAATGTGGATTTTGGTTAGCAGTGAGTTTGTGGAGAAGAGATGGTTGTATCCCCGTGTTCTTTTGTCGTAGGCTCAATATGCGATACAAGGGTGTATTGGATTTTGTGGATATTTCAGGTTTTTTCTCGCTAGTCTACATACCGATTCTTCTGTCAAGTGTTTTCATACTTTACTTGTGATCACCTTGGTCTCATTCTAGAACATTCGCTTCTAACCAGGAGTTGTTTGAGAAAGCTCAGGCAAACGTGAAGACTCTAACAGAAGAGCCAGATGTGGACGTTAAACTGCAAATGTATGCCCTATTTAAGCAGGTGTGAATCGCGCTAACCTCGGAATTCAGAATTCAATGTTTATATGATATTGCAGGCTACTGTTGGAGATGTCCAAGGAAGCCGTCCAGGAATGATGGACTTTGCTGGTAGGGCAAAATTCGATGCTTGGACTAAGGTTAAAGGAATAAGCAAGGTAGGATACCTTACCTTACCCCTCGAAATTTGCTTGGCTTACCAAAGCTTTTGTCAGGAAGAGGCGCAAGCGAAATACGCCAAAATTGTTGAATCGTTACTGGGTGAACAGTCACCTCCGCCAGCGGCTGGATCCGCTCCAATGGGATTGAAGCCTGTTGAAGGGCTGGATGTGAGTTCAGTTTCCTCTCGTCTAATCAGTTTCTTCTCTCATGGTCACTTCTACCGATACGATGCTTTCAAAGTGTCTTTGTTCCGCGGCACGTCCCTGCAGTTTAATTTTCCCTAACAGTGGAGCAGATGGGGACTTTGAGTCATTTATGGCCTATGCAAAAAACATTGTCGTAGGTCAACCATTGTGCTCTCTTACAAGAGATAGTTACCCTTGATTATCCTCAAACACGACTCCTCCTAGAATCACAAATAGGAGCACCCCCTATCCCGTTCGAATAGATCGGAGGTTTTTCTTTGACCTGTATAGAGGGCTTTTTTTGGCGAACCTGGAATTATACTCATGTGGTGATGTTGAACTGGCGTCCTGTATTCCCACCGTTCTACGGTAGCGAAGCTAGATTTGGCAAGCGATGTGATTTTCTCCTTGCTGAACGACTTCAATGATATTACTTGAGTATTTCCCACTGTAGCTTTAATAAGTCTTGAGAGAAGTTCTAAGAAACTAGGAGAAGAATGAGTGTGAAATTTGTCTCCTCATTCTCTCGCTGGCTTATCGGGGACCATTTCTTAAAATTTTCGTGCCATCAACATGAGTGAGCAGGGCTGGAATTCATTAACTAAGGATCTGGCAGTATTGCACCAATAGACTTCACAAAATGTTTTCAGCATTTGCGGAAAATGTGGTCATTTTGATAACTACAGGGCAATATTGCAGGTGTCTGTGGAAGGCAAAGCTTTCCAAATCAAACTTCAATCGTCCGAAGAAATTCAACGCAATAACCTTGGATATGTACAAGGGGATTATGGCAGCTCTAGACGCGTCGAATAAAGATAAATCAACTCAATCACAGTCATAACAGGTCAGCTCGATCAAACTCGTATGCATATCGGCTCAACCGACTATTTGCGCCGGGGGAATTTCGTCTGTTCTGGGTGAATGATCTCGGTAATTTCGGCGAAGAGCTATCTGCAGCAAGAAGAGTCAGGAAATGGGCGGCCGAAGACCGGTGATGTGGTTATGAGAAAGAGGGGATATCCAGGTATTGAGTCAGAGTTATGTTATGTTTGGTAGCTTTTGATTTCGGGTGGGGGGAGCTCATGAAGGAAGGACGGGGTGGTGCGGGCAGTTGTTGGCGAGCAAGATTTATTTTCTTTGATTTGGGGGTTGTAATGGGTTTTAGCAGTTAACTTACCGTATATACTCTCAGCAATGTGGAATAACATATCTTCCCAGGACCTGGACGACTGGATTTTTGACAAACCGTACTAGAATTTACATAATTTTGTCTTAATTTACATAAGTTTACTATTTGATGGGTGGCTTACCCATGGTTCGCACGTCCCGAGACCCCTTCCCCTAAATATAGCCACATCCTTGCTCGGGGTTGTTGTTTCGCATTTTTCGATAATGTCACCTACAGCTTCCATTCATTCTTTGCACCCTAGTTTTAGAGCGGAAAGGCGGGTTACGAACTTGTCGTCAACGGAAATCTCTTCTTTTGGATGATGAGACACGGACACCTACTTTAGCCCCGTCTTAACCCTGCTGTTCGCATAAGCCTACATAAACCCTACCCTGGTGGCGGCGTGCGCCACATGGTGGCGCACGCGAACAAATACACTGGCCGTCCGTTATGGGTTAAATATCATAAGGAATATACCAAATTGTCTTCTTTAACACGTTGACGACATCGCGCGTTTTGGCATTTTTGGCCGCGTGGGACCAGAGCGATTTTGCAGGCGCCGCCGCCTCACATCAAATCCGTGGATTTTGAGCTGTAAATACGCAAAACTTGATGCGACAAAGTGTTTTCAATAATGTTCGATGTGTCTAACTTATCGGGAGTTACAGTAATGGAAGTTCGACCGAAATGACGTGTTAAGGCCATGAAAAGGCAAATTTTACTTACTTTCCCTTTAGTGGTTCCAAAATTAATTTGGACATGGTTGTTTCAGTAAAGGAACATACTCTGGGATACGAATGGTTTAAACTCACCTCGGCCGATGTCAGACGGTCAGACGAATAGCGCGATTCGAAAAGTCTGACATCGGCCGTCTGTTGCTCATTTTCCTCTATGTGTTAACATTAATTAAAGAAAATGAGGAATGAACTGAAAGATATTTCTAAGGTTCGGAAAACCTCTGCCAAACTAAGAATATTTGGCCATTCTGTGAGCCACGTGGTTTTTGTTATGTTGATGTATGGCCTATAGAATGAACACAAAAATTTGGAAGAAATCGGGCATGTGCAAAAAAAATAAATGTAAGGGTGTGGCATACATAGTTGCCACAATGTCCGATGAGGTGCAAAATGGCGGCATACATAGTTGCCGCGCTGTCGTCAAGGTGTTAAGATAGTTTCCTTCTCATTGTCTCATTCGTCAATATTTTCATTTTTAGGCTTACATTGATCATGAGAAACCCCTTGGTTTGCCTCATTAACGGCCCTGCCGTAGGCATCGCCGTCACCGTTTTGCCGCTGTTTGACTACGTCCTTGCTACAGACAAGGTACTATTATTATTTTGATTCTGATTTCAGTTGTCAACGTCTCTTTACCTGACATAGAGCACCTTCCACACTCCATTCTCCACGCTTGGACAATCTCCAGAAGGTGCGTCGTCCTACACCTTCCCGATTCTCATGGGACAACTCCGTGCATCAGAGGTATGTGAGATTGCCAAGATTGGTAGTCTTCTGTGTAAATCACAATGTTTAGTTTCTGATTCTCAACAAAAAATTCTCTGCTCATCAAGCGCTCGAAGCGGGACTCGTGAATGAGGTTTGCTATGATATTTCCATTTTCCTCGAATGTTCCTATTTATTTGGGGTTCTTTCCAAAATGGATATAATTATTTAAAGGTTGTTCCGCATGACGAATTCCAAGCAAAGGCTGCAGCCGTTGGTCAAGCAGCACTCATCCCTTCCTCCAGAAAGCTTACGGGTCAATAAAATGCTGCTTCGATCTTTCCACAAAGATATGCTAACAAAAGTCAACGAAGTGCGTTTCTAAATTGGACGCTTATTTTCATTTATTGATCGTGTCTGAAAGGTATTGCTGCACGTATTTACTTTCAGATCGAGTGCAAAACTATATGCGAGCGTTGGCAGTCAAAAGAATGCGCAGCTGCTATAGCTGCTTTCCTCAGTCGGTCCAAGAAGTAGATTTCCCAATTGCTATAATTGCTCACTGATAGGTGATAAATTTGGTAATTGTTGGTATGCATGACTGTCGTGTCTTGAAATGAGATATTCTGAAATTCATGGAAATTGATTACTAGCTATCGAACTTGATAGGATTGTACATCTTTTTCTCATCGCCATCATGGGGGTAGTTTTTTTTGAGATAGCTTATCGATGTGAACGAAATAGCCGTAAAGAACACTTGTGTAGAACAGGCTTTGGATGTATAATAGTATAATAATACTTTTGCTTGGTAGGTCACTTGAGTCGTTTATTAATGATTGAGTAATGTGAAGTTCGTCATCTATAATTAACATTAACACTAATATGGTGGCACAACTTTCCCTTTTGTTTCCACTTTAATATTTTTTCTTATAATTTACTTGGTCTGGCTCTGAAGCGTCCTGCGTCTCTCATCGATTTACTGCCACGGTATTCCTTTTCCAGAATTAGTTTTACATTGGAAGTGGGCTATGAGGTCCACGTTGCGGCGGCGCGACTTCCCGCGCGCGACAGCTACATTTCGTGGATGAACTCGCATATATTTCAGGGCGTTCACCTTTTCTTCCATCTTGTCCTACATTCTCTTTTACAAAAGTCATGAGTTGTCTTCGACATTTACCCAGTGTATACGAATATTGTATCACACACTTTACTGATTTGACGCGAATGTTTTGGCTGTGTCGATTCAACTGGCTGTTTATTGGAGCGCTAGCGGAACGTGGACATTCTGACCACACAATCTTGACATCACACGAACTTGAACATGAATGGGAAAAGTAATATTTGGCTTTGATCCATCCTTGTTACACATGACAGCAGTCCGCGGTACGCATTCGGGGCGTTATTATATCACTGATTTTTTTTTAAAAAAATTCGTGTGGTAACTGCGCACGAGTATGAAGGTGATGATGAGAATCGGTCCTCTGGGGAGGAAAGAATGCAAAGAGACCACT